GCAAAAGGAGTGAGGGACTCCTGATGGAGTATATGGCCCAGGGACCCCCGGCCCACATACTTCCACTACCGCAGTCAGGCCCAAACAGGCCGAAGCGGGCCAAGCCCAGGAAGAAAAGCTCTAAGCAGCCCACAATACGCAAGGGGGTGCCTTCGGCCCCATGTCTGAGGGCTAACATTCATGGAATCAAGCCCAGAAACATCACAGGAGAACAAGGCTAGAAAAACGAGCCCTCGGCACCTACAGCCCTCGGCACAGGGAGGCCCTTGGTACAAATAGCCTTCGGCCCAACATGTACAGCCGAAGGCATCCTCCTCGACAGAATCTCCTCTCCCACATACACTGAATCGCCGTACCAAGTACAAACGTCGCATCCAACCACCGCATTTAATGCAGCCACATGCGAATGTCGGTGCCACCCCGATTGAGGTGACCCTCGGCCGTCAGATGTTCAACACGTGCCCCTGTCTAGCATTTATTGCTGTTATAAATAGCAGCCCATTTTCCATTGTAAAGCATAACACGTTTCTATATCAAACACTTACTCTCTCTCTTACTTACTTACTCCGACTTCTCTCTAAGTTATTCCCAGTAATAACCCTCGGATAAGCTACCCCCCGGGTACACTATCCATCAATAACAATAACGATAACGATGACGATGACGATAAGGATGACGATAATGATGACGATAATGATGACGATAATCATGACGATAATCATGACGATAATGATAACGATAATGATAGCGATAATCATAACGATAATCATAACAATAATCATAACGATAATCATAACGATGATGATGATGATGATAATAATAATAATAATAATAATAATAATAATAATAATAATAATAATAATAATAATAATAACTTTTAAGTGTTTGCATTGATCCTGGGAGAGAGTTGGGTTGCGAAAGTGAGAATCGCCGATGACTGATCCTCCACCCTTAGTCCCAAAGGTTGAACATTCAAGGTCATGTGATGCGGGTGACTAAATGGACAACGGATTTCCGATCTAATGAAATACCTGGATATGTAGCAGAAAGATCGATCGCTTAAATTAAATCAGATTTGCGGCTCTGGAGAAAGATGGAAGAAGAAAGGCATTGTTTTCCATGGGCTGGTCGAGAAGAGGATGAATTACCATTTGGAGCTGAAGAGATCGATCGCCTATATCAGGTCGGCGGCTCTGGACATTGTTTTACGGATGGAGCTCTGGACCTAGTGGAGAGGCTGGGGAAGCAAAAGGGTTTTTCTTCGGTAAGACTTCGGTAAACCGGTTCTAATCGATTTAAAACGGTTAACCCATGGTAAAACTTTTTTTATTTAATTGGTTAACCGTACCGTGATTTCGTATGAATATCTTCAAATCTTCAAAGATTTGTTCTTCATATCTTCGAATCTTCAAGGTCTTGTTCTTCAGATCTTCGAATCTTCAAGCTTCGTTCTTCAGATCTTCGAACGTTCTTCAACTTTTGGATTTATTTATCAAGAATCAACGAAATCACGAAGGATTATTTGTATATTCTTAATCAAATTCATGGCTTGATTTATTCCTCTTCTTCGGAATTGTTCAGAGCCTTTCGGGAATTCTTCAGAGATTTTCTGAAGCGTTTCTTCGTCTGAAAGTTCTGTCTTCCATTCTTCTCAACTGAGACCCTTATTTATAGGTGTGAAGGGATAAAATATGCCTTAGGGTTCCCAAAAGAGAAATTCTATTCACAGCCCCTTTTTTTACTAATCACATCCACTTCATTAAATAATAAAAAATAAAAATAAATAAATTATCTAAACTACCCTTACTCTACATAACTCCACATAACAATCGTTAAGTAAGCATGATTAACCTTATTACGAGAATGTTTGGGATGCGCAGGAGCACAGAACGCAAAGCCCTCTCAAGCGCATAAGGAAGAAACATAGAACCAAAACGCAGAGCTCTCAAGAATCCATATCAATGTCTAACAACCTTGCATTTGACCCACGGTTAGCCCCATTAATTATCCTCACAAGACCACCTGAAAATAGCAAACAGGACTGATATTCATCTCTCTGCCAAAATAAACAAATTGGGAGGGTAGTTCCTATGGACTGAAAGTAAAGGATAGTATATTCAATATAATACTTGAAGGCTTACACGAGTATTTATAATAATACATACACATGAGAATAAAGTATTAGAGACCTAGTTTATCTCTACAACTAAGGGATAAGTTACAGAGATAGGAATAGGTAGTTACATAACATAAGTGTACATGTGAATAGATAAATACATTAAAATATACTAATATTATTTATCCCTAACACTGAATTGACCCAGAAAGCATCTTAGAAGTCTGGGAGGATAGTTCTCTAAATACAAGGTTGGGACTTATAAAAAATATTAATATGGATCCATTCGGATCAAATTTAATAATTGAATTTATTTAGATCCTTAAAAAATATACTGAATTGATTTAATTATAAATTAAATCAATTCAGTGTTAGAGGCTACTAAATACCAATTTTTCCCCTACAAAAAAAGGTTGACTTTTTTGTGTCAGGCTACAAAAAATCGGTATTTAGTAGCCTTATATTTTTCCCCTACAAAAAAAGGTTGACTTTTTTGTGTCAGGCTAATAACTACTTGTATATGTTATACAAACATATACAAGTAGTTATTAGAGAACTATGGATTTAAGTTCCATATTAGAACCAAGGTCCACAAACCAGGTGTTTTGGCCTTGGTATGGGCCTAATATGGCCTAATATGGGCTATGCCTTGAGTACTTCTCTAGGCTTCTCCATATTAGAACCAAGGTCCACAGTTTTAAGTTCCATCCTAAATGTGGCAAACTTAATATTTCGCATGTGGCTTATGCTGATGATCTGATGTTATTTTCTAGAGGGGATTACCCATCTATTAAAGTTCTAGTTGATGCCTTGGATGAGTTTGGAAAAGTCTCGAGGCTTAAAGTTAACTCTGATAAATCTAGCATCTTTCTTGGAGGCTTGGCTTAATTACATTCTTAATATGATTGACTTCAAGAAGGGTACTTTCCCCGTGAGATATCTGGGCATTCCTCTTGCCCCTCTAAAAATTTCGGTGGCACAATATGCCCCCTTGTTGGATTCTATTACCAACTTTATCAATGCTTGGAACACAAAAAGCCTTTCTTATGCTGGGAGAGTTGAGCTTATTAAGTCTGTCATCCAGGGTGTTCAATCTTTTTGGCTACAAGCACTCCCAATTCCTAAGGCAGTTTTGGATAGAATCACTTTTATCTGTCGTATTTTCCTTTGGGGGTGCAAGTATGCCAGGGTTGCCTGGGCCGACATGTGCCTCCCTAAGGAGGAAGGTGGGCTTGGCTTTCATGATACTCATGTTTGGAATTCTGCCGTGTTGGCAAAAACCCTTTGGGATATCCATGTTAAAAAGGATAATCTTTGGGTTCGGTGGATACATGGGGTGTACCTTAATGGCAAAGGTGTTTGGGAGTTCACACCTCATAAAAGGGACTCCCAATTGATTAAGAAGATTGCTCTTGTTAGAGATCAAATCCTGTCCCATTTTGATAGCACTCAATCTGCCATTAATCATCTTAATGGCCTTCAAGTTCATGGCAAATTATCCTCGGCCAAGGTATATGACTTGCTCAGAATTAGGGGTGAAACTCATATGTGGATGCCTTTCATTTGGAAGCACTATATTCCCCCTAAGTTCAGCTTCACGGTTTGGTTAGCCTTTCGTAACCGCCTTGCTACTTTTGATAATTTGCATAGATTAAATGTTGTTAATATTTGTCCTTTTTGTAAGGGTGGTCCGGAAACTGTACCGCACCTATTTTTTGCTTGTCCTTTTTCAGGTCTTGTATGGCGCAAAGTGACTACTTTGCTGGGCATTCCTAGGGAGATGAGGACCTTGCAAAGCTCGCTCAAATGGATCAAGAAGGAAAGGCAGGGCTCGGGGATTAAAGCTAAGGCGGCTAGGATTGCATTTTGCTTTTCTGTCTATTGGATTTGGAGGACCTGGAATGGCACTTGCTTCGATGGTTTGCTGCCCAAGGAAGACGACATTTTTGCTAGGGTTCAATATATCACGTATAAGATCCTTTATAGCCTTTACCCCTACGAACTTGTAACCCTTTAGGTGATGGCTGTTTTTCCCTCCATCACGCTGTTTTTGCTGCTTGGTTTTGCTTGTGTTGGCTGCTTTTTGTTGCTTGGTTTGCTCCACCATGGCTGTTTTGTTGGTGGTTCCTTTCTTTTTTAGGCAGGTTGTTGTTTTGATGGGGAGGGTTATCCTTGTTGGATAGCCTAAAGTTTTGTTTCCCTTTCCTTGTTTGTACATTCTTGAACCCCCCTTTTCTTGGGTGTCTTATTTTATATACTTACATTTCACCCAAAAAAAATAGAGAACTATGGATTTAGAGAACTATCCTCCCAGTCTTCTAAGATGCTTTATGGGTCAATTCAGTGTTAGAGATAAATAATATTAGTACATTTTAATGTATTTATCTATTCACGTGTACACTTATGTGAATTGACCCAGAAAACATCTTAGAAGACTGGGAGGATAGTTCTCTAAATTCAGTTATTGAACATTGGCCTAATAATTTTATATGTCCACAATGGTATTTGAATAATATTTAACTTATGATCAAATCAATTCGATATTCGTATATGATTCGTTAATTATTTGTATTGCTACACAAATAGTCACATACAAATTGAAATTTATATTCGTTTCATATTCGAATTCATATTGGAAAAAGTTAAACAAATACAAAATCACAATATTTATACTTCCTCCGTTCCTTAAAACTTTGTCTGTCATCTTTCCTTTTTGGGATGTCCCAAAAAACTTTGTCACTTACTCTTTTAATCAATTATTTTGTGGTTAAAGTTATTTCTCTCTCCTCTGCACAAATCTCAACCACACAGTTTTTACTTTATTATTCTCAGGGCCGATCAACTTTGATAAAGTTCTAAGGGAGGTAGTATTTAACTATTGTGATTTTGAATCAAATCGAGTTATTCCACAAAAGAAAAGTTTTAAACCCAGAGAGTCCCAAACTCTTCGATCTCCCCATCCCCAATTCTAGTTTCAGTTTTTCACAAGCTCTACAGCTCCGGGAGCAAGAAGCGAAGCAGTCATTCCATCCTCAAACGCCAAGAAGATCTGCTAGCAGCAAGATAGGCATAAAATGGGGTTCTTTTCATTTTTGGGAAGAGTTCTCTTCGCCTCCATCTTCATTCTCTCTGCCTGGCAAATGTACGCTTGCTCTCTCTTCCTCTCGATAGATCTAGTTTCTATCCTCATTCTTGGATGCGTACTTTTCAATATGTTGTTCTGCATGGGGTTTTCGTTGTTTTGGCAAACTGGATAGATGCATTGTGTTTACTTGAGCCGGTGGTTATGGCGACCTGATTTACTGAATATAGTATTTGTTTGGACCAATGACCACCCGTAGTTAGATGGCAATTTCTTTTGAACTCTTCAAATTATATACCGTTTAGAAGAGACTGCGTGCAGCAAATCTGCTTGTATAACATATACAAGTAGTTATTAGCCTGACACAAAAAAGTCAACCTTAACTATGTTTATCAAAATAAAACAAAAAATTGGTATTTAGTAGCCTTATATTTCCCCCCTAAATGAGGAATAATCTAAAAGAAGAAGAAAAGGTGTGAAGGTATTCGATAAGACTACTTCGTTTAAAGTGTGTTTGGTAGTGTTACGGACCTAGCCCATATTAGGCCCATACCAAGGCCATAAACCAGGTGTAGAATTCACTCCCAAAAGACTAGCCAATTAGGAGGAGGGGACACCTAGCTTATAAGACACCGATCAAGCCCATACTTGAGGGGTGTTGGATCGTTACAAGTAGCCATGTTATGCTTATTGTGGTGATCTACAGAATAAGAGCCCATTTGGTAAAGTTGAAATTGGTGAATTGTCTTAATCTAGTAATTGCTAAAACAATGGCTTCTAAGCAGTGTTACCAATTATCTGCTGAATCTAAAAAGGGATTACAAAACAGGCACTAAGTAGCTTTTGACTTGCTTTGTTTGCCGAAATGAATTTTATGGAACTCTCTTCTTAAAAATTCAGAAATTCAGCCAAATTAACCTTAACAATCTGGTACTCAATATGGGAGTAGGCTCGTAGCATAAGTGCGTGACAGGAGTTCAATGTTTATACCTAAAAGTTTAGCTTATTTAGAGATTAGATCCCATCTCTTTTGGAACTTATTGGTTTCTTCGTGTAGACCTCACTTAATTCCAATTAGTTTCCACTTACTTTAGATTATCCCTTACTAGATGTTAAGATCCAATGTTCTTATGTACCTCCTAGCTGGCATCTTATACTATTTACAGCAATTATTTGGCTGTGGTTGATGTTTTGAATTCAAAACCTTCAGTCATGATTACTGTCATGCCAATTTATTTAATATATTCTCATTTCTGAAGCCACTTCAGGTTCAAAGTTCTAGTCATAAATGTTGGGACATATGAGCTTTTAAGTTTTAACAGCCTGACCTGAAATAAAACTTATGAAATACAATGGTGAACTGCCTTATGCCACTTAAATCATAACTTGTTATTGTAGGTATAATGACTTTGGAGAGGATGGTGGTCCTGCTGCAAAGGAACTGGCTCCTAAGCTGGCTATTGTCAAGAGACTTGTTGCTTCCAAGTTTGGGGTTTTGCCAAATGTTGGTGTATCGGAGGCCTCATTTCTATCTCCAAATGTGTACTCTAAAATCCTAATCATTGTTAATGTGTAATATGAGCTTCATGTATTTTAGGTTAAGCATATTGTTGCAGCCTCTTTGGTGCTGAAAGGAATAGGAGGTCTTGTATTTGTATTTGGCAACCCCCTCGGTGCTTATCTGCTGGTAAAGTTTGTTCTGAAACTTTTTTGACACTATCAATTAGGGCCTGTTTGGATGGAGGGAATGGTTTGGAGGGCTTAATCGTTATCTTGCTATATATTTGAGATACTACAAAAATTTGAAGGGATAACAATTTAATATAATACTACCTCCGTCCCTCTGTTATTGTCCCATTGCGGTTTACGATGCTTGACTGACGATAAAGCAAACAGATCCCTGTCCGCACTAGAATTATTTTTAGGAAAAAAATTGCATATTCAGAAACTACATTAAAAGGTTTACAAAGTCGCAAAAACCAGAATCAAATTTGATAAAAATTTGTTAAATAAAGTAAGAGATTAAGAGTTATTTGTGTTGACCAAGTGAATAGGAAATGGGACAATAATAGGGGGACGGAGGGAGTACATGATTGTATAACGCTTCAATCACTTTTTCTAAGGGACATTCTGTTTTTCTATAGATAGAATAACCCCTCCAAAAGCCTTCATCCAAACAAACTTTAGAGTTTCTATCATTGGAATGCTGGATGAATCACAAGTTTATTTTTTGTTATTATTTTTTACTGGACAGATGTGTTACTTGCTCTTTATCACTCCATTTTTGCATGACTTCTACAACTACAAATTCGGAGAGCCACAGTTTATCCCTCTTCTCCATGACTTCCTGCAGGTCCGTGTTAGGGTGTGTTTGGATTTATCTTTTGGAAATGTGCTATGGCCAAAACTGCTTCTGAAAAGCAACATTTATCTATTACCCCGTAGTACTTCATAAAAAAGTGTTTTTGAGGTGGTATGAATGTCAAACAGAGTTCAACTCTCATCCATCTTTGTTATATAATTAGTCCATCATTTTTAATTCGCTAGAGCTTGATTAGTGTGGCTGCAAGCATACATTACATGCATAATCGAATACTGAAAATCAAATTCCGTTTGGGTAAGTTTGCTTAAAAGTGATTTCTAAATAATTAATTTTGTTTGGGTGCAACAATAATTCATGATCTACAGGGTAAGAGCATGAGCATAGCTGAAAGGAAAAATAAGTTCCAAAGTAATCTCAGCATTTAGCTGTTAACTTTTCCAATTCAGATTAAATTGTACAGTATATCGTACTGAAACAGCTTTTCCTAACATTAATTTAATGCCCTAACCATGTCAGTAGTTTTTAGAAGAACTGGTAAAACTCAAAATAGTCGAAAACAGCTGAAATATCACTCGGTAAAAAATTATGTTTCAGAAATGGTGAAACGCGTTTGTTTTAATTGCATGATGAATCATCTGTTTTGGTGTGGCAGAACGTGGCACTTTTCGGTGCACTGCTCTATTTCCTTGGGATGAAAAATTCAATTTCAAAGAGGCAACTAAGGAGAAAGACACCAAAGCCAAAGGCTGCTTAGATGTCTGTGGGTGTATGTTGTACCATTGTTGACGGTTGACACGATTAATTTTTGTAGCATTTTCATGCTTTGTCCTTCTACAATGTCATCATCCCATATTTCTTTTCTTCTTTGTCATCTTTTTGTGTTTGCATTTTCCAAAGGTACTAGAATGAATGTATGATTCTGCTACTATAGGTATGTGGGCATTGTTTAGTGTATGAAAATTTACCCTTTTTAATCTCTTTTTTCCTTAGTATCGTTTGTCTTTCTTTTTTGGCTGCAATATGTACAGTGTGTTTGGGTTATTGCGTATAAGACATACAACAGATACACTAGGGGCGTTTGGGTCCAGGAATGTCAGATTACCATGTGAATGTCATATTAATGAGTATGTTAGATTGATGAGAATGAATTCAATTTATTCCCATTTCTGTTTGGTTAGGAATAAGGGAATGTGACATCAATTTATTCCCATAAGGTACCATACATTTGTCTACATGGACCAATCAGAATGTTGTAGTTGAATTATTTAAATCTAAATTAAAAATGATATAATGATTTGGACCAATCAAGTGAATGGTAGGTACGGTACCCTATTTGTTAAGTGGGTACCGAAGTTGTCACCTAATTTATTTGGTTAAAAGATACTTATCTTATATTGGAGATACGGTGGATTACTTCGATGGCCTTAAAATATTGAAATATCTTAATAATAAATAAAATCAAATCTAAATAAATTATTTTTAAGTATGTTTAATTGTAAGAGGTTGTAGATCCAATATAGAGATGAAAGAAACTATGCTCAAATAGCAATCTACCTTAAAAGTTTTATAAAATCAAAAAAATTATTTGATAAAAGTTGGATACATAGAGAAATTAAATGAAAAACGATAATTAATTGAGGGTATTTTCGAAAGAAAATTAGATCATCCCCGATAATGTAAGATAACCTAAGTCATGGAAGGGTATAACATTCCCCTCCATATTACATTCCTAGGAATGTAACTTTCCCGATTTTTTGTTAAAACCGTGAACCAAACATGAGTATCCAACATTCTAGGCATCACATTCCGGCCTCAATGTGAGATAACCCCAAACCAAACATACCCTTAGAGTTCTGCTATCATTCCAGGATTACACGCTCTGCTAAGAATGGCATTCATTTGAGATGAACGACCTTTTGGTAGACCTAACGGAAGAGAGTTCAGACAATTTGGGTAAAAGTAGGGGTGGACTGGGCCCGGCCCGGGCCGCGATTGGGTGGAACTAAATATCTGGGTTGCAAGCCTGGCCCGGCCCGGGTCGGGTCCATTTTTTTTTTTAATTTGCTTTTCAAAATTATTCCTTCCCCCACCCCCAAACCCCCCACCCAAACCACCTAGCCCCACCCACCTAGCACTCAATCAATGGTAAAAAAATTAAAAAAAAATTGGGCCCGGACCGGCCGGGTTGGTCCACAATTTCAGCATCCCAGAGCCCGACCCTTTTACACCCGGTTCGGACCCTCGGTCCCGGTACCGTGTGGTCGGGCCAGGTCGGGCCTGCATAGTGTCGGGCCGGGTCCCGGGTCGGGCTGACCTGTCCCAGTCCATCCCTTGTAGGGATGGGCCGGTTCCGGTCTGCCCGGCCCGGGAACCGGACCAGCCTGCCGCTGTGCGGGACCGAGCCCGATCCTAAGACCCGACCCGGGGGTGTTTTGGGGGCGGGCTCGGGTTTGGGGTGGGGTTGGAATTAAATAGAAAATAAAAAAAAAACGTTACCCGACCCGGTCCCGGTAGAATCCCGAGCCGGTTCCGAGCCTTAACCCCCAATACAAAAGCCCGGTTTTGACCGGCCTGGTCCGGAACCGGTCCATGCCTAATCCCTAGGTTAAAGGTCTCTGACAAGGGAAGGGTATCACCCACTTATCTATTGGAAATGGCCAACGTTGTCTTGTATTATACGAAGTATACAAAATTACAAGGTAGAATTCCTAGTTACATTACTTACATAATTACATGGCTAATGTTTAGTTAAAGAATATGCATTGCACCCAAACCACTTTACGATAATAGACAATGCATATAACATTCAAAGTTGGCATTTGTGAAATAAATAATACGGAGGATATGCGGTTGGAATGTAGTCAAAGTAGAGTGCATGTGTGAATAGTGTAAAAGTCAAAGTTCGTATGTAAATAGTGTAAAATAAAAAATGTTTCAACTATTAAAGAATCGTGGAAGTATGAGTCATGCATCATATTGAAGTAATCTACACTGTAATTCATTTCTAATAGTTGAAAGTAGGGATGGATTCGGGCCGGGCCTAGGCCCGGTCGGGCCGCCGGTTCTAGAATAGTGGGCCCGGGACCGGCCCGAGGGTTGGACGGGTCCGGTTCGGGCCGGGCCACCCGCCCGGGTCACGGGTCGGGCCACCCGCCGGGCCGGGCCGGGCCGGGTCGGGCCGGGTAATTTTTTATTTATTTATATTTTATACTTTATAGTTTTATACAAGTATTAAAAAACAAACTTCAAGTGCATTTATTTGAAATGAAATAGGAACTACATTTGAAAATTAAATAGGAACTATAATTGTTTTTAATCGGAATCTCCGGCATAAGTAGAGCCACCCTCTGTAGATTCATCCATAAAGTGTTGGGATGGAGTGATGTCAATTTCTTGAGCTCTACGTGCTGCTTTCAACCAATCGTGGTAGCATATAAGCATCTCAAGAGATTCAGCGCTCAACCTCGTTCTGGTTTGTGTTAGAACATTGCCGGCCGAACTAAATTCTTGTTCCACGGCAACCGTTGAAACTGGCATTGATAGCACTTGCTTAGCCATCTTTGCTAAAACCGGGAACATTCTTTCTTTTCCCTTCCACCAGTTTAGTACGTCAAAATCATCATCTTCTTCAAAATCAACATCATAAGTTAAATACAAAGAAATCTCATTAATTGTGCTTTGTTGTGTAGCGGGAGTTGATTTTGTTTTTTTAATAAGATTGGCAAACGTAGATTTGAAAATTGATTTTCCTTTAGATGATGTTTGTGTCGGGGGAGGGGGCGCATTGCCATATTGTGCATGAAACTCATTGAATAATGCATAAAATATATCACTAACCTCGTTGTATTCTTTTTTCGGATCAATTGGGTTGTCCTCATACATTGGCAATGGACCAAAAAAAGCAGCATAATAATAATTCAAACATTCTTCTAAAGAACCAAGTCTAAAACGAGGATCGAGAACAAATGCAATACCATAAATATGCGGAATATGTGAATAATATTTTAAAAACTTTTCCTTCATAAAACCAGCAAAATAATTCACATAGTCATCATTCTCAAAATTTGAAAAAGCACCGGCGAGATTAACAGCTTCACGAATAAATTGGTTTGAGGTAGGTTTATAAACATGACTAAAAGTTTCAGTTGCATTATTAAAATATATCAAAGCATTACAAATTTTTTCACAGGTGTCGATCTCAGCCGAGTTTATAATATAGTTATCATATTGTTTCATAAAAGCAGGAAAATGTTGTTTATATCTAAGAAGAACTCCAATTAACTTATAGGTACTATTCCAACGAATAGACAAATCTTTTGGAAAAGCCACATATCTCTCACATCTTTCTATCAAATAATCATGCCATTTTCCCCTAAGGTGTCCATTACCCCAAATACGTCTAATCCCCCCCTTGACTACCTCCAACGATGCTCCCAACGCTTTTAGACCATCTTGCACACATAAATTTAGAACATGACATGCACATCGTTGATGAAAAAATCTACCCATCAAAGAAGTAGAACCACACAATTCACGCAATCTAGGAATAGCAGCAGTATTATTAGTAGCATTATCAAAACCAATAGCAAACACCTTATCAATTAAATTATACTCAATTAAAATACATTCAATCAAAATATAAATATGTTCAGCGGTGTGACGATCATTAAATTCACGGAAAGCAAGAACACGTTTATGCATATGCCAATCATTATCAATATAATGTACAGTCAGACCCAAATAATGTAAATTATGATAAGTATCCTCCCATATGTCAGAACATACAGTAACACGTCCATCAAAGTTTGCAAAATAATTTTGTAACCTTACCTTTTCCGCACCATAAAGCCTTGAAATTTCTTTCTTAACCGTTTTGCGACTATAACCTCTATATTGCGGATTTAAACAAGTTTGTGCATAATCACGAAAAGCAAGACTTTCAGAAAACAAATAAGGCAAATTTTCTTCAACAAGTAAGTTAGCCATACCTGTCAAATTTTGTGCATCATTGTATGAGAAATTACCAAAAGCTTGTTGGTTATTTGCAAACCTCGATATTTGCGTTTATTTCCCCGTTCCGCCGCCTAATTTTGCATACTCCACCGGGTGTTTGGACTTAAGGTGTCTTGTGGCGGATCCGTATCCGCCGGAAATCCCCAAGCTATAGTTTTTCTTGCACCAATTGCAAGTTGCGGTCCAATTCCCGGTGTTCGGGTCCTTCCACTTAGAAAAATTATTAGCCATTAATTCAGATTTACTTTTTTTTGTACCTGTTTGGGATGATGCTGCTTGGTCGGCGTCATGGCTGCCGCCACCCTCCTCCTCCTCGTCGTCGTGGCTCTCCGGAATTGCTTCCTCCACATCGTCGTCCTCGTCCTCGAGCTCTTCTTCGTCAATGGTCCTCGGTTGGTCTTGAAAAAAGCGGGAATTATGTCGGTGCAATTCTTGTTCTAGTTGTTCGTCGGTCATCGCATCCCCATCCCTCCTTACGTAACCCGTATCAAAATCATCTTGACTTTGAGATGAAGAGCCGATATGTGATTTACCTTTGCGGGATCTCTTCCTCGCAAGCTCGTTCATTCGGTTGCGCTCGAGGTTACCCATATCAACCGAATATCTAGGACGATCCATCTAAAAAATGTAGCAATTAATAAAGAATTGTAAAAAACTAATTAACTATTTATCTAACTATTAATTCGAGTTATAGCAAATTAAGTAGTGAATTAACTAGTTTTGTGTACAACATATTTTTTAAACTAGAGTCAAATGTAGCAATTAATAAAAAATTGTAAAAAACTAATTAACTATTTATCTAACTATTAATTCGAGTTATAGCAAATTAAGTAGTGAATTAACTAGTTTTGTGTACAACATATTTTTTAAACTAGAGTCAAATGTAGCAATTAATAAAAAATTGTAAAAAACTAATTAACTATTTATCTAACTATTAATTCGAGTTATAGCAAATTAAGTAGTGAATTAACTAGTTTTGTGTACAACATATTTTTTAAACTAATTAAACAAGTGTAAATAATAGAATAATTTCGTACCTCTTTCGGACTTTCGGTCTTTCGGATGGGAATAATAGAATGACTTCAAATT